CCCGATTTGGAACTAAGGATCGAAAAAGGTGTTATTGGCCCCGACACTGCGTTTGCGCGATATCTCTGTAGATCCCCGTTTGCTCCGCGGTCTCGGTTGAACATCCAACTTGCGAACAAAAAAAAAAAGAGGATTCTATTCGGGCTTTTGTACTTGCGACAGGCTATACTGGATACTGGATATTGGAGATCGGACAACTGAAATTCAACCAATCGCCCCATTGTCTCGGCTGAAAACACTTGTCGATCTAGTGGAATCGCTTCTGTTTGGAAGGGTCTCAGAGTCATAAGGAAATATTGGAGACAAGAAAGGAACTATTCAGGCAGATCGGTTCATCAGCTTAAGGTTAGTATCAAGTGCACACCCCTCCCTTTGCCCACGGTCTCACTTGTTTCCCCTCGTGCCTTGCATACTTCCTTTTTCGGTTCTTGATCTTTGGTTATTCCTCCTTGCAGCTGGAATTTGTATTCTTTGAACTATACCAACGACAGGAAATGACGATGGTTGTCAGAGCCGTCGGATAGCTTCCCCGTCCCGCTATTATCCAAGTGTTTGTTGTTGACATTAGACTCTTTCGTCAGGTTGAACGACCCTCGGATCTTGCATATTATCTTGGGTCAACATCAGAAACTTGGTCTCAGTTCAGACCTTCTCTTTTATTTTTTTTCCACCTTGATTCATCTCGGTGAGTTCATTTCCCTCCCCCCTATGCACCGGTCCGGTTTCCATAGTCTGAAAACGTTCTCGTATACTCATTAATTGAGTAGCCTATCATCGTGATCTTGTTCATTGTGGCCCAATCTTCGTGAAGTCTTTCCCGAAACACCTCGCGGAGGAAATAAAGAAAAGCGAAACCTCTCCAGCCCACGTTCGTTGCTCTCGTCATCTCCAACCAATCTCGGCTCTTCCCGTCACAATTGGCGGTGGACATTTTCCCTTGGACATCTAGACCAACTCGTTCTTCTACTTCTCTTTATGAACTTTTGGGTACTACGGTCGAGATCTAAGTCTATTTCTGCAACCAGCCGTTCCTAGTCTCAGCTTTCGTGGTTTATTCCTGGATGGTGATTCGAGGCCTTTTGTTGCCAATTTTGTGAGACCGATAGCAGCTTCATCTTGTCGCTCGTTCTGTCTCGGAGAGCACTCAACTTTTTGCTTGAGCTTTTCGACCCTACAATCGTTTGGAATAAATTCCCAGTCATTCGCTTCAGGAGGTTCTGTCTCGTTGCACTCGCTGCAACATCTTCAAGCTGGCTTATTCGAAGACACACGGTGTTTTGGTAAGATTTTCCCACCTTTTGGATTCTGTCTCTCTCTCTCCCCCTCTTTCTCTTTCCCCTTAGGGATGCCCGCATGTTTTGGTTCTGTTTGAATCTTCTCAACCCTTGCCCTATTTTCAGTGCGAGAAACCTTCCCGCTGACCTGTCTCTTCTTGTTCCGTCACAGTTCGACCCAGATTTTCAAACGCCCCTCATACTCGGCGAGTCATTGGATCTGTCGGACTCAGAAGAATCACAGTTTGTCAGTGCATTTTCGGACGGCCTGTGGGCCAAGTCTGAGCCCATATTGTCAATGTCTGCTTTCCAGAAGCCCGTTGCCGGCGCCATAATAGGTACGTTGCACTTTGAAGAACTTGGTTTGTCGTGATTTTGGGAGTATCCCGTGTGCTAAGACTGAACACAGATTATGGCTCCACTCGGTCTTTGCAGGATGCTGCTTCATACTCGAACTACGGTCAATCACCTTATGTGACGACCCCGATGGTGCCCTCACCTATGGCCGATCAGGCAAGTCAGATCTCGGATTGCGTTCCATATCTGCCCAACGAATACGCTAGCTCGTACGAAGAGTCTCAGTCGCCCATGTTGGGTACACGCCACCGTCAGCTACCCGAAATTGTGACTTACAGTCCCCAGCGGGGCAGTGAAGGAACTAGGGTGATGGTCCAGATCCAGTGCCCCTATGACCTCCACGCTTCCTCATACGCAGCTTTGTATGTTGTTTTTGGCTCAAAGAAGTGTGAATCACTCCCGCATTTCCTTGGATTCCAGGGCTCCGCGTTCCAGTACGGTCTTTCGGCTGATGTACCTGAATTCTTGTCTACTGGATCACCATCTTTTGCTGTTCCTCTGTCCGTCTCAATGGAGACCCAGGATGACTGTCCGGCTACTTCTCTTCAGGTTGGTGTGTATACTTATGAGCAAGTTTCCCACCCTTCGCCATCAGAGGATTCCCGCAAGAGAAAATTCTCCTCATACTCTGATGTTCCTGCGGCACCTGCCAAACGACACACCGGATCTGTGATCCCCAAGGTTGAGCACAACGAGGGATACCACAGCCGCTCTGTGTCTGCTTCTTACTCGCCTTACTTGCAGCCCCTCCCCGCCATGGCCGGGTTTGTCGCACCATATCACGCTGCATCCTCTCCCCAGACTGGCTCTGGCCAATACTCTGCTGTTTCTGCCACACCTCAGCCCGCTCTCCGTGTTCCTTCCCCAATCACCCCAGCCTGGAGCCCCTCTTACGCCTCCGTGAGCAATGATCCTCGCAATGATCCTCGCAACGCAGGTCTCCCCATGACACATGGTCTTCCTCAGCACAAGGCTCCTACCCAACGTGGTGCTTCAAATCCCACTCTGATCCGCACTTCTACCATCCAAACGCACTCTATGCCCCACAACCCAGCCTTCAACCCTTATGCTATATATCCCACCAAGGCCGTTCTCAAGCTCAATGGGGATCTCGATACTATGACACAAGGCTGGTCGAAGGAAGAACGCACATCTCAACGCCGTCTGGTGCAATTCACCCGCTCGCAAACTGGGAGCACCATCCTGGGCGAGTTCAAGGCTGTTACTCCCGAGGATCGCGCCCCGAGCAGTATCTGCATTAGCTGTATCCTATGGGAGGAGAAGAATGAGTGTTACGTAACCAGCGTGGATACCATCTATTTGCTTGAGTCCCTCGTCGCTGTTCGCTTCACTGTTGAGGAAAAGAATCGCATCCGTCGCAACTTGGAGGGATTCCGACCTCTTACCGTCTCCAAGGCCAAGGTTGACAGCGAAGAGTTCTTCAAGGTGATCATGGGCTTCCCTGCTCCCAAGCCTCGCAACATCGAGAAGGATGTCAAGGTCTTCCCCTGGAAGGTCCTGAGCCACGCACTGAAGAAGATCATTGGAAAATACGTATGTTGTTGAAACCCCACAGCTCATCTTGTCAAGTTACTAATCTTCCTCTGCTGTTTAGTCTGCCAGCTATTCCTCCACCGCCGGTGCTCTCCCCACACCGATGACCACCACCTACACTAGCCATGCTAGCCATGGCACTGGTTCTGATTCTGGTACCGAACCTCACACTGCCAACTCCCCGCAGTCCATCTCCGATGCTGGTGCTGGTCAAAATTACACTAGCATGCCAGTCCAGAACTACTCCCAGGCCGACCACTCCGTCTCCCACTTGTCTTCGGCACCGGACCTCCGATCCATGATCGCAGTGACCCAGCCTTATACATCTGTTGGAGGATACTCATATCCGGCCATGTGCCACCCCCAGAGTGCCCACGGTCTGGCAGCCCCGGCTCCTCGACCATCTTGGGACATGCATTCTGTCGGTCCCAATACTCCTCAAACCGGCGCACCAGGAAATGGCGCATGCTACACCTACTTGGATCCCGTGTACAACATGCACGATACGGCCCACGGCGGCCATTGATCCCCCACCCGGCTGGTCCCTGTACTTGGATTTCTTGCTGTGTTTTCCTTCTATTCTATTTTTCATACTTGCCCTCCGCCTTTTTTGAAGATACGAGTTTATTTTTCCTGTCACTCCTTACCAAGCCCAGACAGCGGATTGCCAGCCCACCAGAGCCAAGCTCTCTTCCCACCTGAAAAGGTAGGAAGGGCCCTTGTATCTGCTCGACCTCGCATCTCGCACATTGATCATGATTTTACGTCCCTCCTTACACTACAAGATTATTATGGCTGATGCCCTCACCACACACCCAAACTTGTGACCTTTGCATATTTGCTTTTTGCCTTTTTTGACATTTTGGACTTTGGTCCACTCTGAGACCTCCTCCTCGCATTTAGACGGTGTCTTGTTCATTCCTTCCTTGGGTTGCATATTCTATATGCCGGGCATTGCGGCTTCCACTCCCTTTTTTTTGCGCACAAAAAAACATACATCCTGGGCTTTTGTACTACCATTCAGCATAGCGGGCGCTTGCTTGTCATTCCTTTTGCATTCGCGGGTTATCTTTTGGATTGGAAATGGGATAGAATGGGGTTTTTGTTTTTTATTTTCTGTTTTCTGTTTTTTGTTGGAATCTTGGCGATTTCATCCATTTTATCCAATTTCTTGGTATATTTTGGATGGGGTACTTGGGTGAGGATGTCCTGACACTATGGAGTTCTCTTTGTGTGCCTTGGGGTCTTCCTCATCTGGTCTCCGTTGACTTTTCACTTCTTTGTTTGAAAGTTTTGTTCGGAGTTGGTTCGGTACTTACCACCTCTTGTTATTTGAGCTGAGGGTTGTTGTCACTTACTACCTACTGCATTGTTCTGGCGTTTCGGACCTAAACGGTTGGACCGTTTATTATCTTTAGTTTTCTCTGCCTTAATTTTACCTATTCTGAATCGTCATTTTTGCATTGCAGATCATCAGATTACTTTCACTTCATCCCTTCTTAATTAGCCTTGTCTCTTGTAGAACGTACATGTACCTTGATCAGTGATAGATGTTAACCATATCACGTGAAGCAACCAACCCTATATTTGTCCCACCTTCTATGTACCCGTGGACAGATGATAAGGTCAGCTGACCTACTATCTTATCAGCGCACGTGACGCGGGGCCGGCGAAACCGGCCTCGAAAAAAGGGTAATTGCGTTTGACTCATCATACAGATCGTTTGCTTTTTTATAACATCATCCTATCCCATTCCTCACATAACCATCCACGTGCGATTGTTTCATCTTGCACATATATACAGGGACTGTTTGCCCTCCATTGACCTCTTCCTCCCTTTCTTCTTATCCCCACACTCTTTTGCCCCGCCACTTCTGCATCGCCTTTCATCATGGAAGCTATCAAGCAGACTTTCGCGAAGTGCAAAGCACAGAAACGTGCGGCCCTTGTGGCCTACATTACTGCAGGATATCCCACCGTCGAGGAGGCTGTTGATATCCTCCTTGGTCTCGAAAATGGTGGCGCCGGTAAGTCATTCATCTCCCAAGTGAAAGTTGCTCAAGGGACGATCTTTACTGACATTCGGTCTCACATCGCAGATATTATCGAACTTGGCATTCCTTTCACAGATCCCATCGCTGATGGCCCAACCATTCAGACCGCTAATACAAAGGCACTTGAGAATGGTGTCACCCTTACTACCGTCCTTGAGCTCGTCCGTACTGCCCGCAGCCGGGGTCTCCAGACCCCTCTGATGCTCATGGGTTACTTCAACCCTGTCCTCAAATATGGCGAGGAGCGTATGCTCCGTGACTGCAAGGAGGCTGGTGTCAATGGTTTCATCATGGTTGACTTGCCCCCCCGAGGAGGCTGTCCGTTTCCGTGACCTTTGCTCGAGCGCTGGGTGAGTTTGTCTCGATTTTTACTTTTTCTTTTCGAAATCTTTGTCACTTGTCTATGATTGTCTAACATGCTTACCCTGTTTCAGTCTCTCATACGTTCCCCTTATCGCCCCCGCCACCTCCGATGCTCGCATGCGTCTCCTCTGCAAGATCGCAGATAGCTTTATCTACGTTGTTTCCCGCATGGGTGTGACTGGTGCCACTGGCTCATTGAGCGCCAATATCCCCGAGCTTCTCAGCCGTGTTCATGAATATTCTGGCAATGTCCCTGCTGCATTGGGATTCGGCGTCAGCACCCGTGAGCACTTCTTGTCTGTCCAGGAGCAGGCCGAGGCTGTTGTCATTGGTAGCCAGATTATCACTGTCGTTGGCAAGGCCCCTGCTGGCCAGGCCGCCAAGGCTGCCGAGGAGTACCTCTCCGGTATTACCGGACGCAAGCGTGAGCGTGATGCCGCCGGCGCCTTCACTCGCGAGATCAACGTTCTGGAGGCCATTGAGAAGGCCCAGCCTTCTGGTCAGGTTAAAGCTACCAAAGTTATTACTGATGCCGACACCCCCGCCGGACCTGGTCTTGCTGACCAGATTGAGGCCCTCAACGTGACAAAGGATGTATCCTCTCAGCCCTCGCGATTCGGCGAGTTCGGTGGACAGTATGTCCCTGAGTCCCTTATGGATTGCTTGGGCGAGCTCGAACGCGGCTTCAATGTTGCCAATAATGACCCCAAGTTCTGGGAAGAATTCCGTTCCTACTACCCGTACATGGGCCGTCCTAGCAGCCTTCACATGGCCCAGCGTTTGACTGAAGAGGTTGGCGGTGCCAACATCTGGTTGAAGCGTGAGGACCTCAACCACACTGGAAGCCACAAGATCAACAATGCTCTTGGTCAAATTTTGATTGCCCGTCGCTTGGGCAAGACCCGCATCATTGCCGAGACTGGTGCTGGCCAGCACGGTGTTGCTACCGCCACAGTTTGCGCCAAGTTTGGCATGGCCTGTACCGTTTTCATGGGTGCTGAAGATGTGCGCCGCCAAGGGCTCAACGTCTTCCGTATGAAGCTCCTCGGTGCCTCCGTCGTCGCTGTTGAGGCTGGAAGCCGCACCCTTCGTGATGCAGTTAACGAAGCTCTCCGCGCCTGGGTCGTTGAACTTGACACCACTCACTACATCATCGGCTCCGCCATTGGACCCCACCCCTTCCCTACCATCGTCCGTACGTTCCAATCCGTGATCGGAAACGAGACCAAGGAACAGATGCAGGCCCAGATTGGCAAGCTCCCCGATGCCGTCGTCGCCTGTGTTGGTGGTGGTTCCAACGCTGTCGGAATGTTCTACCCCTTCTCCAATGATCCTAGCGTCAAGCTCATCGGTGTCGAGGCTGCCGGAGACGGTGTCGATACCAACCGCCACTCTGCGACCCTTTCTGGCGGTTCCCACGGCGTCCTCCACGGTGTGCGCACCTACGTCCTGCAGAACGAGCACGGCCAGATCTCGGATACTCACTCAATCTCCGCTGGTCTCGATTACCCCGGTGTCGGTCCCGAGCTGAGCAACTGGAAAGATTCCAACCGAGCCACCTTCATCACTGCGGACGATAGCCAGGCCCTTGCTGGTTTCCGTGCTCTCGCCCAACACGAGGGTATCATCCCTGCATTGGAGTCCTCGCACGCCGTCTGGGGTGTCATGCAAATCGCCAAGACAATGGAGAAGGGCCAGAACATCGTTCTGAACCTGAGTGGTCGTGGTGACAAGGATGTTCAGCAGGTCGCTGACGAACTTCCCCGCCTGGGTCCTAAGATCAACTGGGATCTGCGTTTCTAGGCCCTTTCTGACTTTCTAAATGCTTTTTTGCATCCGGGTGAAATACCCTGACTATTTTATATCTTTTTTTCCCGGTCCTCTGTTTTCCCAGAGGTTTTCATGATTCGTTGACGCTTTTATGCTCTACATTGCGGGAGGTCGTGGAAAAGCGTTTTTATTACAGACTTTCATTTTCATGATTTTGGGGGTTGATTCTTTTTGGTTAGGTAAAAAAACAAAAACATTGATATCCCTTTCCGGTCTTTTGTTTCCATTTTTTTCTGGACCGTCTTCATAACCATAGATAAGTTCAGACTCTAGAACAATAGCAGTCTATTCTCTACCACCTACAAAAGACCACCATACACACAGCATCAACGAAATAGCTTGTCATCCCGTAATTTCGTAAAGAGCGAAAATTGCCCCTGAAGCCGATTCGATGATAGATTCGATAATGTATCATACGATGGAAACCAAGAGAGAAAAGGAGAAGAGGGAGGAGTATAGTTTAACTACATAGTAAGGATCTGGATATCTGACTAATACTTGACTCATCAGACACCCAAGTCCACCTACGGCTGGAACATTCATGGATCTCTCCAAGGTTCAACTTCGGCCTATTATTTACCATATTATTTACCACCTACATAAGACCACCATACACATAAAACCGAACAGCCCGATTACCCCATAATTTAAAAAGAACGAAAATAGTAGAACAGATTTGATATTATATCACTCTCAAGCAAGAAAAGACCAAAAAACCAAGAAAGATACGAATAGCCGCATAACAACAACATTGAAAAGATAGGAGTATATGCAATTGACATCGACAAAAACGGGATCTACTAATCCCCTCGCCAGAGCTCACTAGCTTTCCACTTCCACCTCCTCGCACGGCGATAGTTTACCTCAACATAGCCCAAGACATAGGATTCAGCTCAACCAACACACATCTCATGCGTCGATCAGGTTCTCATGCGAGTTGTCGTTGGTATCCTTGTTAGGGATCTTGCGAGCATGGCGAGCGTAGAACTCATCGAGAGTGCGCTTGGGAATGCGGTTAAGCAATTCCTTGGGGTAGATGCGCAGGAGGTTCCAAGCAAGGTCGAGGGACTCCTCGATGGTGCGCGCCTCGTAGGGAGACTGGCTGATGAAAGTGCGCTCGAATTTCTCGAGGAACTCGAGAGAGAGCTTGTCTTCCGAAGAGAGGGCGTCTTCTCCTACGACGGCTTTCATGGAGGCTGGTTGGATTGGTTGGTTAGAGATATTACCCGATTAGGAAAGCGCAAAATATTGCAATTGAGGGGGGATTTCTTTTTAGGGAAAATTGCTTACCGGCATCACGACCAATGGCGTATTTAGCGTACAGCTGGTTAGAAACGTCTCCGTGGTCCTTACGAGTGCGGCCCTCGCCAATTGCGGATTTCATCAGACGGGACAGAGAGGGCAGCACGTTGATCGGTGGGTAGATACCGCGATTGTCGAGCTGACGATCAATGAAAATTTGACCCTCTGTAATGTAGCCTGTCAAATCTGGGATAGGATGCGTGATATCTGAATAAAGGGGTATAGGTTAGTATGATTCAGGTTGGGACAAGTAAACATGTCAGTCACCACCCCCGAAGAGGAGAAGTCATCACAAAAAGGGTATGGCAAATTTCAAGCAACGCACCATCGTTAGGCATGGTCAGAATGGGAATCTGTGTGATAGAGCCATTGCGGCCCTGCACTCGTCCAGCGCGCTCGTACAGGGTGGACAAATCTGTGTACATGTAACCGGGATAACCGCGACGACCGGGGACTTCTTCTCTGGCAGCGGAAACTTCACGCAGGGCATCACAGTAGGCCGACATATCAGTCATAATGACCAGGACGTGCTTCTCGAGCTGGTAGGCGTAATATTCGGCAGTGGTCAGGGCAAGACGAGGAGTAATAATACGCTCAATAGTCGGGTCGTTGGCCAAGTTCAGGAACAAAGTAACACGCTCCATACTACCGTTCTCCTCGAAATCGCGCTTGAAGAAGCGAGCAGTCTCCATGTTGACACCCATAGCGGCGAAGACAATAGAGAAGTTCTCCTCGTGACCGTCGTGAACATCCTTCGTGGGCTTGGCCAGACTTGCTTGGCGACATATACTCGCGGCGATTTCGTTATGCGGCAAACCGGCAGCTGAGAAGATAGGGATCTTCTGTCCACGAGCAATGGAGTTCATCGTATCGATAGCGGAGATACCGGTCGAAATCATTTCCTCGGGGTACACCTTGTCCGTTCGTTAGCTTCCCGTAGTCCCAGTTCTCGATCGTAAAAGGGTGGCTGTGCGCATACTCGTGAGTAGGGATTGATAGGCTGGCCGTTAATATCCAAGTAATCCTCCGCCAACACCTTGGGGCCCTTGTCGATAGCTCGTCCCGAACCGTCGAATGTTCGGCCCAACATGTCCTCGGAAACACCAAGCTTCAAGCTGTGGCCACTAAACTCGACTTTGGTCTGAACGGGATGTCAGCGCAACATTCAAATAATGTCCATAGGCTAATTATCAATCCCGTAGGTTGGTTGTTGTACCTTCTTCACATCGACACCGGTAGTGCCTTCGAACACCTAGTTCACGAACGAGCTAAGTTAATGACTTGCATATTAGGGTCGAGCTTTTAGTCCGCACCTGCACAACAGCCCGGTTTCCTAGTTATAATCTCAGCTTTCATACTCCTAGACTGAATGGCAGAATGTGGGGACAGACCTCTGGCTTCCAGCACTTGACCACTGCGCTCTGTGCCATCTGGGAGGGTCAACGAGACAATTTCGTTATAACGGGGAAACTTGACCTATATTGAAATGTTATAATTAGTATACAATTCCCCTATGTTGTCAGAACATTCTAGACTCACATTGTCGAGGATAACCAGCGGTCCGTTGATGCCTCCGATGGTATTGTAGCGCACCCGAGGCTTGATGGAGGACATCCGGGGGTCAATAAAGTCAGCCATGGCGAATTTGATCCTCCGCGGGCGAAATTCAGAGTAGAAAAGGCAAGATTGGGGAAGTGAGCAAAGGTGGGACTGGGGGGTTGGTCCAGCTGTCTCGATGGGGGAGCTTGGGCGGTGACCTTGCACGTGATAACTCGGGCGGTCCAGTATTGCGTGTACCTCAATCCAGTCTTCATTGGGGTTCGGTCCACGGGTAACTCTTATATTACATAGTTAAAGGTACACCTTATAACCTTGGAACTACGGAGTACTAGACATCTCTAGATATTCATCATCTTAGTCATTCAAATCATTCTTACTATAAACACAAATAATACAATGATGGTGACCAAACCAAATCTTCCAGGAATCTCAGTGGAAAGAACACACGCAGAAGTTGAGCGCTGCTCTTTCATCCGCGGTGTGATGGTCGCAGTGAATACCCCAATAGCAGACAATTCACTAGATTTGCTCGCACGAGGAGTGATCGCCATCATCTCCACAGATTCTGTACCCGGAACACCCACATCGCCAAGCAGCATACCGTCACTAGCCCGGCTACTATCCTTCGCAGACCACTGCGCCTCACTCTCATAATGGACACCATTAATGATAACTCCACTCCTAGCTTGAAGCATGATCTGCTGATCCTGGCTGCAGGTGGCAGCCACATTCCGCAAGAAACAGGTCGGCAAAGCCATGGGCGGGGCATGATTGACTGCCGTTGAATTAGCATCACCCTTAGACCTGAATGTAGCTAGATCTGCAGGTTGACCAGAAGACAGGTCATTCCCGCCCTGGATGATACGACTAAATAGCGTGAACATCGTCTCTGGCTGATAAGCCGGGATCTCGTGGCCTGCATCGTAGATTCGCGAGAACGAGAGGTTCCCAGCCTGTCGGACAACGCCGCCGATGTAACTCTCGTTCGTGATGATGGGGCTGTATCCTGCAGAATTGAAGGAGGATGTGTAGTTTGATGCTGCTGCAGCTATAGCGAAGGAAATTTGTTCGCCGCCTCGCCAGTTGCAGAGGTAGTCACTGTCGCCGTATATCAGGGCGACTCGCACACCCTTTGCTAGCAGCGAGGCCAACTGTGCTATTTGGCCGCCTCGGGCGCGGTCACCTGTCATTGTGAAGGCATAACTCACGTCTTGGTTGGACGTGCTGAAGTTGACGGGTGTTCCGATAGATGACTGGACTGCTGCGGTATTCAGATATTCTAGGTAGAGATTTGACGGAAAGGGGTCTAGAGATGCCTGGGAGATGTCGTAAGGACTCCGGCCACTAGCTTCAAATGGGTTTACCACATACTGGTTGCAGTATATCACCGCGGATGAGCACTCATCGGCGGCTGTATTGTTTCGATCTTTGGATGTTACTGCTTTGCGGCATTTCTCAATCTGTTCACGGCACCCGCCGCTTTTTGAGAAAGATTGCTTCATGCTCTTGTAATCCGTGACGCTGACTGCTTTGATATCGTATGAGTTGCTATATGCAAAATCTGAGTAAGATGACCCCTGTATCGTATCATCCACACAGCCTTGGATGATTCCCAAGGAGACGAGATCAATCTTCCAGGTTTCGTTGGCTGGCAGCTTTCCTTGATCCAGCAAGTCATTCTGCTTTTCGAAGTATGTCGCAAAGGCTGGCCCATAGTGGCCCCCATAGCTTTCAGTAAACAAGTTAATGCCAACGGAGTTATTCCCAATGCCACTAGGGTTGTATTGTGGAAATTCGGCCAGAAATGCCTGCAAAACATGCCAAATTGCTTGAGAGGAGATAGCCGTGGTATTGGTTGTATGGTCATGATCATGCGAAGAGAATGTACCATTCAAGAAGGTATTATGTGGCTGCTTCGGCGGAACCGGTTTGGCTTGAGAATAGAGCAACCCAGAAAGAAGATTGAGGGACCCATTGGTGAGTGTGTCGTACGAAAATCCAACCTGATTTGGCTGGTCAATGAATAGCATGTTCGAGCTGCGATCCCATCCCCAGGCCCTAGCTCGGGTCCCCAGCCGAGTCTTGTCAATTTCAACAACCTCGCAGGGCCCAACTTCCTGAAACATGCCAATCATGCTACTCGACCCAGGTCCGCCATTGAGCCAGACTGTAAGTGGAGCTTTCTTAGGGTTCTCCCGGGCTTCCACAAACCAAAAGAATGTGTTGATGGGGTAATCCTGCTGGACCGGAGCTAGAGTAGCAGGCGGGAGATTGACATAACCCGTATACTGCTTTTGGGAACTAAAAGCCGTTTTGCAAGTGCCCGGCAGTGGTGATTTGTACTGAATGGTGATGTTGGTATTGGCAGGCGATGAGACAGTTTTGACCTCAACATCGTCTAAACTGATGGGTGGTGGGAACTGTGCAGTCACTCCAGCTAGTAGAAACGACAAAATCCCCAGTTGAAGTACATGTAGTTTCATACTAGCTCCAAGTCCTCTTCGTTGTGGTGGCTATATCGTTGTTAGAGGCGATCAAACCAAACCCCAAAGAGCATGAGAACAAACCGCATGCATATTTGACAACTCGCAAAAAGCAAAAAAAAAAAAAAAAAAGTATTTGCAATTCAGAATATTATGCATCAACTCCACAGAAAGCCGGATTTCCCAAAGTGAAACAACCTCTTTACTCAAGGCTGTTTGGCGATTGCTCCCGGTCCTATCGTTTACCTCCAGGTAGGTAATGATGTTTTATGTTGGCCCAATGTAGATGGCCTATCCCAAATCCTAACAGATCTATTGAATTTCTAAAGGAGATCATCTCTATATGTGTGTACAACATACGGAGTAAATCAGAGACAATGTCTGACTCCTGGGGGCTGTGGCGCCAAGCAGCATCCCCATTGGGCGCTTCAGCTAAGCCTAACTTGGACTGGGTCTAAGTATATTTTTGATTTGTACGGAGTACTATAAAATATAAAAATAGTCGGTCGCTTAGGTAGCCTTGTCATGTCTTTTTAAAGTCTTTTTGGATGTTTTTTTTATGTCTTCTTCGGTGTATGTGAAGATGGTAAAAAAAAGATGACTTTTCTACGTATAACCTTTGATGGTAACATCATCAATGAAGTAATAGCCCGGGAATATATCTACATTTTACATTATACAAAGTCCAGTGGAGGGCAACCTTTTTTTGTTCAAGATGTCATGCCTTTAGACACCAATACTAAGCAATTAAGAGCACGACCGCGCCACGACCAGCAATAATAACACCAAAGACCCGAACCAAGAACGAGAAGTAAACAGGAGAGAAGAGAGAGAGAAAGTCACCATGATGTAAAATCTTAGGCCCATAAAAAGTAGGGTATCCATACGCATTAAACAGAGATAGTGAGAATCCAGATATGCACCATTCGCAAGATAGGCGCCTCGCCATGATCCGATCCATGAAAATGCAAGGTAGAAAGTAAAGGAAATAGAGTGCACCGAATCAATCCACTTTGGCTTGAGCAAGACTCTTCGGGGTAATTAGATTATTGGACAGGCGCACATTTGTAGTGCCCTTGAGCTTGTCTTTCCACGTATGCCTCTTCAGCTTCCGGCGTGCAACCATGACCGGCACAGAGGAGCTAGAAAGGAGATAGTTGGAGAACGAACCGAGAAGGACACTAAAGGTTAGGTTAGTATTGACGTGCAGCATGGTATTAAACTAGAAATTCATATCACTCACCCCTTCAGTGCACTCTGACCCCGCGCACCGACAATAACAAGTGTAGGCTCAAGTTCATCAATCTGAGAGTCATTGTAAGTATCGATCAGAGATAATAGGGAGGTTGATAGCCGGGAAAGTACTTACAGCTTCAGTAATCATAGACTTTGGGTTCTTGCAGTGGATCACTTCTACGGCAATACGGACCTGCAAGACCGTTTTCCGCAGCAGCTTCACACAGGTCTGAGACACAGTCTCAACTGCCCTCACCCGTTCAGCCTCGGCGATTGACGAGGCCCGGGAGTCAGTCGAATGTGTCCTGCTAGCAGTACCAGGGCCCAGTCGACCCAGGATCGTACGGGATGCATAATTCTGGCTGGCTTCTTTTGTCTGTGTGCCAACGACAGCCGTTGCATCTTTCATCACTTTTGCTCCCTCGCCGACCTGTACCGCTGACGCAGTAGTGGAGTCCTCATGTATGACGTAGATGGCAAAAATCGTGTCTCCATCTCTCAGAACGGTCCCGATAGTCCACTCAAGGGCATAGACTGACTCTTCACTCAAGTCGGTTGCGATTAAATACTTCCGACGGCGACGACGGGTCCCATCGCCTTGATCCTGCGGACTTGAAAAGTTCCCGCGGACAATCGTTCGGATTGATCGGTTGTGAACACCATTATCAATAGCTGACATGGAAATGCTGAGCTTCTGGGCACGATGAATGTCACCGATTTCGGCTTCATCCTCTGAGCCGTAAGGTGTGCCAGCCACTGACTGAACACGCGGGGTGGGGATATCGAAACTGGTCTGTGGATGGACCACGGCTTTCAAAGCAGATTTTCGCGGTTTCTTCTCCTGCCGTCCACGTGAGGGTTCAGGAACTTTTTCTATGCAATTTGAGATTAGTATATTGGTTTCCTATGTAATAAAAGTCCCGAGAAAACAACATACGTTCTTCGGGCTGCTTGGAGTCATCGTCCTTGGATTTTTCAAAGTCACTTGGCGTTATAGATGTGATATCCGAGTCCTTCTTTTTCTTGCGGCCTCGTGTACCTTCTAGAGTGCTGTCTTCATCGCTCGAAGTATCGTTGGCTTCATCTTCACTGCTTTCAATCATGTTCTTGTCGCGATCGAAAACATCCTTGGCAATTCGCTCCCCTCCCTCCTCCACGGCTGCCGGTTTGATATAATCAGGCAAGCTTCCATGGGGCTTTGTCAGTACCTCATCTGACTTGTTGAATGTATCGTGCATGTTGAGCGATTTCCCCTTCCCTGAACTATTAGGGGCGGGTGTTATGGTTTCAACGTGAACAGAATGACTGCCAGAGGAACTAGGACGACCCCGCTCCGGTGAAGGAGTATCACGAGAGTCAAGAGACGATCCACGGTGGGAAGATCCCCGTGATGAGTCTCTGTCTCTGCCACGGGAAAAGCTTCTCGGGAAGAGACGGCCAGACATAATGGCGGCCACACCCTTGCGGCTCTGGGACCTATCTCGAGCCTGTAAAAATCGCTTTTTGACGTGTGGCTGCTCTAGAGAAGTTGAAGCGACATCAGATTTCGAATCATCAACACCAAGGCCCGTAGTGGAGCGGACAGTGTCAACAATATGATCGGATGATCTACGAGGAAGAGCCTCGCGATCGGCAGTGTGCCTCTCCGGCGAACTTGGAGCGGATGCCATATCTGAAGAACTGATGCGTAAAGGTGAAGATACGAGTGGTTCGACTGGACTGCGGGTTCCGCCTCTAGGCGAATAGGTTGTCCCGCCCGCACTCTTAGACTGCGGGGCAATTAGCAGGTTCTGCAAAGTCCGGCTTAAACCTGTTGGCTTCTCGTTTATTTGAGTCGTTGATATTGTAGATCGACCATCCAAGCTTTTCGGTTGTTCAGGAGAAGTTCGACCAGTGTGGTACGACATGGTGGCACCGCCTCCGGGCTGTGGGGAACTCAACTCAACTCCGCCAAGTACCGAGGAATGTGGAGCAGATCGCCGTATGGCGGTGCTGGCAAGGGGTTTGGGGTTTAGCTGCGAGGGATTTGGGAAGAATTCAAGAAAATAGGTCTGGCAGTTCAGGTTGTTCTGGCAGAAATCTCACAAATCAAGCCGACAGATGGTTATAATTGATATTCGGCAATCGGATTCTGCACCATCTGGAAGTTGAAAGAGAAAAAAGACAAAAACACAAAGGAGAGGACCAAAGGAACATTCAAAAAGAGATAAATTGGGAGAAGGAGCCCAAGGTGAGGCTTCTTATTACAGCCACAGTGGCTGCGCGCCTAGATTCCTCTGTCTTTTAAGGACGTCTTTTAAGAGGCCTCTCTATATTATTTGGATTGACTGCATCTAGCATGCTACTCTTACTTCACTCTCTTTCTTCGCCCTATCTTTAGTATTGTGAATTGACTATACTCTTTGCTTAAAGAACCAACGTGTAGTGCGCTATATAAAGGGTGTAGATAGGAATAGGTGTAGGTGCTATTAAACGATCCATAGATGGGCACGGCGGTGGACTAATACCTGATACTGACAGAAGGTAAGATGAGTGTACATGTAGTTTTTGAAATAGGTAGATGCAGCGATAGATTGGTGGGAAGAATCTAAGAAAAGGGGCTTGAGATCTCACACAATCAAAAAAGTATTACTCCGTAGATTAAGTCGACATTGGATAGGTGTAGAATATAATTGAATATTTGGCAATCGGATTCTGCACAATCTGTCGAGGTTGAAAGAAAAATAATACAAAGGAGAGGACCAAAAGGTATCATGGTATGCAACTACAAAACTCCTATTAAACCCACATGATAAACGCCTAGACATGACACATGAATGCTACAGGAAACAAAGACTCTAATTTAAGCCTTAGCCCTCTTCGACTTAGGCTTTGTCCCCTTCCGAGCTCCAACAGCAGCAAATGCTTCCTCGGGAGGCTCATCATCGACACCACGCTTCTTCCCAGGCTGCGCATATTTCTCCTCCAAACGAGCGAGGAAGCCCGCACCACGATCCTGCTGACGCTTAGTGATAATAGCCAGCAGATCATCTTCATTTGCCACAGCCTTTGAGCTCTTCCCCGCAGCCCCAGCTTTCTTCCTCTTCTTCTTATCCTCAATCTCCTTCCCCAACTTCTCCGCCTCGCGGGCCTCCTTCTGCGCCTTCTTCACACGCTGTTGTTTCTTCTTCTCGGGCTCCTTGGAATATCGCTCGAAGTCCTCCACCTCCTCATCCGCAATGGCCTGGTCAATGATACGGCGGAACCGTTCATCGTCGTCTAGTACATTAGACAGCATCACGGTATCGTAGATGGCATCCATATTGCCCTCGTGCGTCTCGTACGCGGCAAGCAGGTCCTTTCTTTCCTCGTCTGAGTTTTGGTATTTCTTCTGGAAGTCCGAGATCGCCCGCGAGTCAAGCATCGCTGACAGCTGTTCGCGGTAGAAATCCATCCAGTTGAAGTCACCATCTTCGCCGAAGGCCTCGTCTGTGCTTCCAGTCCGGTCGTACACGTTTCGTCGACGCTCATCGGAAAGTACACCGTATGCCAGTGCGATTCGTTGGAACTTTGCGTTGGCGTCTGCGCGGGCTTCTTCGCTCACCTTGTCTGCTCTGAGGTTAGTATCTTGGATGGTTTGGGAACTGGGTGTGTTTGCATACCGGGATGATTTCTTAGAGCACTCTTTTTGTATGCAGTTTTGATAGCTTCGGGGGTTGCATCGGATGCAACGCCTAGAATCTTATAGAGGTCTTCCTCGACAGACGGCATTTCTTCGTCCGAGGCATGGTTTTCGGGTTTCGCGTTTTTCGCCATTGTAGGATTTGGGTGGCGCGATATGCGGATCCGGGTTGTTCGAGCGCTAGGAGGAAGAACTGAGTGCAATTTAGATATGTTACACCGAATTGGGATTTAATAGATGAAAGACCAATAGAAGTGGCGACTACACTAGCGTAGGTTGTCGAAATGGAACGCGATTTAGACGCGACGGGGCCATTTCGTCATTTTGCTGCTGCTCCCCGCCTTGTCTATCAACCCACTTTAAGCACCCCCAAGCTCATCAACAGCGCCACTTCACTCTTCTCGAATTTCAAGATCTACAGAGACCATTCAAATCCAATCCAAAATCAATATTCTACATCTAAAACACCAACCTTATCAAAACCCCTCCTACGTCGAACACCCAACCCAAATCGCAATTGACATCACTCACTATGACGACAAAGACCTCCCCTCACATGCCCTACCTAAAACAATGCCTCTCCCTAGCGGAAAAATCACCCCCAAGACCTACGAACTTCCGAGTCGGCGCAGTTCTACTATCCCGAAAAGACGACGACCCCACCTTCACAGACGACCGAATCCTCTCAACGGGGTACACAATGGAGCTCGCAGGCAACACACACGCAGAGCAATGTTGCTTCTCAAACTATGCTGCAGTACACAAAGTCCCTGATGACAAAGTCGGTGAAGTACTCCCCGTTGAGCCCGGCCGCAAGCTCATCATGTACGTCACGATGGAGCCGTGCGGGAAGCGGCTCTCTGGGAATGCGCCTTGTGTACAGCGCATCACGCAGACGACAGAGGGGGGACGAGAGGGGATCCATAAGGTTTATTTTGGGGTTAAGGAACCTGGCACGTTTGTTGGCGAGTCTGAGGGGTGTCGGATGTTGACTCAGGCGGGCATTGAGTGGGAGCATGTTGGTGGGTTAGAGAAGGAGATTTTGACAGTTGCTTTTGCGGGACATGAGAATCCAGCGGAGGAGGTTAGGGCTGCATTGGGGGAGAAGGAGACTAATGTTGATGATATTAGTGCTGAGGAGAGGAAGAGGCAGGAGGCGATGCCGAGGAATCCGTTGAAGAGGATGATGGAGGGTGATAAGCATATCTATCTATAGTATAGAGGGTGTGGGGTATTAGTATCAAAAATAGCGCAGACTTCAGCAATTATGTGCTCCAGTGCCATCGTGGGCCGGTTAAGGTCGCCTTGAGACAATGACGTAGAATGTGAAATTGTGACCATGCGTAAATTAATTGGAGTATCACCGAGGCCACCGAGATACACTAGAGCTCACCCATGGGGAAACAGAAAAGATTTCCCTTGGGCATTGAGCCAACAGGAAACCTTGGAAGACCGCAAGCCACGACCTTCTTCATATACAACCACGTGACATAAACCCGACTCTCAACGGTTCCAGCTTCCAGTCCAGGATGCAGCTCTAATGTCTCTTTCCTAATATCTCCAAAACAAGACAATCCCAAGAAAAAAAGATGAACCAATGGCAACAGTCAAAAATGAGAACCTCGTATTCTATCCCGCGTTCTGCTTCAAGGTGTCGCCAACGCACTTTACCTGGGTGAAAATGGGTGCAGCCGATGTGCATCGTCTCCGAAAATCGAGTGACTTTGTGGGTATGTTATTTCTTTTTCCGAGCTTTCTGCCATTTTTTGGTGTTCCCTAGAGATCGACACGCCTAGCACACCATATGCATTCTCCGGATCCTCTAGCGTGGAGGCCCGAAAAGAGGCGTTAGTGTGAAGAAGTCCATTTGATATGTTCCACCAAACTGTCTATACTTCCTTTCCATTATACTTGAACTTTATATCTTTTTTCCAAAGTTCCCTGTCATATCTTTTCAACATATCCAAACATATTCGGTCTTGTTATTACCCAATATGTCCCTCTCATCCAACCAAAACACAGCCAAGCCTCTCTATACATTTAACCCCCCACATAACTAACATTACTCCACAGGCCAAAACATCTTCTTCTACAACAACCACCCAATCCAATTCGTCAGCCTAGTAGGCGTCATAGTGGCGCGAACTGATATCCCACGACGCACAATCCTAACACTAGACGACAGCAGTGGCGCCACAATCGACATAGCCGTGCTAAAGAAGACCTCACCAGAACCCAGCACTACTAGCGAGACAACCCCAGGCACAAGCCAAGAAAAAACACCATGGTCTTCATTCTCCCTCACAGCACCAATGGCCACGAATCTCACCCAAGAAAAACACGTAACCTCCAAAGACCACGACGAGATAGATATCTCAGCTCTGCAACCAGGAACGGTAGTCCGAGTAAAAGGGACACTATCAACCTTCCGTTCGCAGATGCAGTTACATCTCGAGCGGTTCTGGCTCGTGCGCGATACGAACGCCGAAATGCAGTTCCTGGATACCCGTCTGCGGTTCCTTATTGAAGTCTTGTCAGTGCCGTGGGTGTTGACTGATGAGGAGATTGAAACGTTGCGCGATGATGCTGAGAGATGTGATGAGCGCGTGTTGGAGGATAAAAGGCGTGCGGAGAGGATTGCTAGGAAGAAGATTGAGCGGGAGGAGAGACATGCTAAGGCTATTGCGCGACGGTATGAGAAGGAGGAAAATGAGAGGGAGAGGGAGCTTAGGAAGGTTAGAGAGGATGGGGAGAGGGTTATGAGGAAGTTCGGGTTTGGGGGGCAAGAGTGAGATGGATTCAACTTGAGTATGCGCTACACTTTTTTTTTCATTATGATGCTAGTGATGGAATTATTATATCTGTATTTGGAACAGAACAGAACGTTAATCATGAAATATGAGATATCGTCAGTCATGCATAACCCCGGAAAGAAGGGGTATCTTCGTATCCATGCAACGCCGAGCTTGAAAGGAATCAAAATCAAGACCAAAGTTGAGATCGAGAGACAGGAGAACAGGGGGGAAAAGATCTTGACATGGAATAATAACCAAAGAAGAAACCAAAACCATATACCACATTAACGGTAATACTTGTCATACTTATCATACCAAGACCCAGACCCTCCACCCTGACTACTTCCCCGGTAATAGTCCTCAGTACTACCCCGACCACCATGATGATAGCCGCGTGATTCATCATCAGGCAGATTCGTAGTAGGCGACTCGCTATACGACAAATCATGTGCCGACAGCCCTGTATATCTAGCCGCATGATCACGACCATGCAAATCACCCTCCGAATGCCTATAGTCACCACCACCATTACCACCGCGGTGATTCACACTCTGTGATGAGCTGCGGGGGTAATGCGAATTCGAGAATCGCTTATCGGCAGAATGACCCGATCCCGAGTGTGAATAATGCGGGTCGCGATCATATGAGTCAGACATGCGGTGTGCTGGATTTGGTCCCGATGTCGGTGCCTTGTGGGTAGAGTCTGAAGGTCGGGGGGTGGAAAAGGAGCCCGTGTGCCTGCGACTCTGGGCTTGTTCTTCGTAGACTTTGCCGACACCTGGGTTGGCACTGTAGGGCTTACGTTCGCGCTCGATTGGCACCGAGGGGATGGTTTCATCTTCTTCGTCGTCTGTGACAGCAGATGCGGATCTTGCTTGAGGTTGTTGGACTGGTTTTGGGATCGAGGCTGTGGGGCGGGGTCGGCCTCGCTCGTATGAGTGGGTTCGCTCCGTGGGTGATTCGGTTGTAGTGGATGACCGGGTTGGTCGGGTGGCGGATTGGTTGCGTTCTTCGGCGGTGATGTACGGTAGATCGACGCCGCAGTGGACCATTATGCGGTCTTCGATGTTTTCTCTTATTGCGATATCTCCGATTTCTGGGAAGAGACGGCGCGGGAGTTCCTTTGGGAAACGCTCTTTCTTATCGTCTGGGTTGTTGATGGGCATGTTTAGGACTGCCTTTTGGAGCCGCTCGTATTCGCGTCCTGGGTTGGCTAGGATCATCAAGGTTGCCCAGGTCTCAAAGCCTTTGGGTGTTAGACCTGGGATATCTGGTCGCTTTTCTACATCGTCTTGGATGAGATGATGTTCAACCTTGATTTCGCGGAAGAGTCGGGATATCGAGGATGTACGATCGTCGAAGATGTCTAAATATTTAGTCAGAAGATGGTATGTCAATGAACAGATCAAACCACCAACCTTGCCATGGATAAGGGTCATTTGGATCATGAGTATCACGATAGAACTTTTGTAACTTGTGAGGGGGATAACAATAGTGTTTCCCGGTGGATAATCCTCAATCTAGTCAAGTTAGCCACCAAAATCCGCAGGATATAGAACAGACAAAAATCCACATACTAGATGAACCGCAATCCCACGTAAGAATTGACCAAGCCTCTTTGTCGCCTTGCCATCCTCAAACAACTTCCCCCAAATCCGCTCCAGAGTAGTCATCTCCATAACAGTAGCGTCCCGATCCGGAGGCTTCGGACGTTCTGCCTTATGGTGGCTATGATGACTCCGATCACTACCCTGGCTCGATATTGAGCCCCGTCTATTCACAAGGGGGTCGGGGGTAGGTTTGGGGCTGAGATGGATGTCACTAGTGTAACCTGGGGAGACGTATGGCTGGAAATTCCCAGTATGAATATTGTCGGAGGCCGAATTAGGCGGTGGGATTGAACTGCTTCGCTGCAGGGGTATGGCAGGCGGAGACTCTGCATGCAGCCGCAGGGAGCCATCCGTTTGCCATGGTGGCTGCTGTGATTGCGAGCGGGGCGGGGGCGTACCAGATCCTTGTAGGTTGTCTAGCCCGGTTGTCTTAAGCTGCTGGATCACCGTTGCTGTGATCTGCGATAGAACTTCCGGGGAGAGGTAGCCGGGGGAGCCACTACTGTGAAATGCAGAGCTCACTGCGTTGTCTATGTGCCCGGTGTTCATGTTTGGGGAGGAGCGATGGGATTCCGGATAGTTGTAGGGCTCTAGGGTTGGATTTGAGGCTGGCGAACCAGTCCGCGGCACTTGTGGTTGCGGCATATTCAGGTGGACTGGTTCGTGGTAGGATGGATATGGGGGTATAGGCGAGTACCCATTTTCGTTTGCATCTGGGTTCATTTTGCCCGTTTGATATGTATTCCCGGCGTAATTTCCATTGTAGGCCATGCGGGGGGTTCGGAGGTTCGGATATGGCTGGACTGCTCTCTTGCACAAAGATGTGTAATCCTCTATAAATAAATGGATCGGATCGATTTGGAGAGAATTTGTAGAAAGAAGAAGTGCAGAGAGGTTACAAATTACCACAAAATTATGGAGGGGCTGGTGGGGGGCGAGTGAAACGTTGTGGCGATCACATCGTCACTAGGACAGATTTAAGATTCATTCTCTTTGTACTCCTTCGACGTCACATCTTATGCCGGTCGCTCTTTAATATATTAGCCCTTTGTTATATATATATTAAAGTCCCACAGAAGTTCTATCATATTGCTTGACTGGGTCAAAGCCACACGATCGGCAGACTAACAGAGCATGCATCTTCCATGCAATGTGTGGAATTATAGTTTCTCTCACACCTATCAGAGTTGTGGAGGACACGATTCCAAAGATTGAGCTATGTCATTGCCAACTGTTGGGATCCGATTGACAGATCAGGTTATTTGTAGTTTACGTGTTTTTTATATATTCTGTAGGGCTGTCTTCTTATTCTGATAAAATGCATAACCTGACAACACTATTAGAATGAACAAATGAAAAGTTTATTGGAAATCCCAAATGGGGTAATCAGTTTGCCACTGCCCTTATAGTCTTCCCAATCACCCGAAATAGCTGGAACATGCCTGAATACCTGATACCTAAACTATGATGAAGTCGAAAGCCGAACTACAGGTTTAGTTATAGTAGGTGGGGTCAACGGAACCACCGATGTCATAACCATGGCATTGGACTTCAAAAAAGGAAAAAGGAAAACATTCAAAAGCAATGGATTGATACCTGGGGTCTTCATAAAACATAACCCTAGGATTTCAGAAAAGAAAGTGAAAACAAATTAGTAGACAGGGGTATATCTGGCATGGACTTACAAGTCCGCCCCACCCTGTAAATAAAAGCACTGTCAATCAGAAGATGAAAAAGGTTGCATGGTAAGGCATGAACCAGGCAGGGTTGGAATCACTGGAAACGCGCCTCTCTCCGAAGAAAGAGCAAAAAAGCGCGTCTGAATACATAGGAGGCATCCGGGGTAGACCCAAGAGTCGAACCGTGTGTATGAAAAGGCAACTGAGAAACCAGGAGTACTAAGAGATAGAAGAAGGAGAAGAAGAGCAAGCTGCTAACTGCAATACTAGGCACAGATTAGCAGCCGAAGTGCTCATAGCTAGAGAAGCATCGTCAATCATAAGCCCGAGGGTTGTTCGTAAAAGATTGCACTGGCACGGCGTTGGAAACAATTAGAGAAACCTTCCTCCTTTCCAAGGAGTGCCATCGTTGATCTTGCGAGTACCAGGTGCCCAGCCTGGGGCGGGCTCGGGGTCGGGAACAGGCTCCTGGCGGCCACGGTGTGCCTATACGATACGAGGTTTTGTTAAAAGTCCATCAATAGAAGCTCCGTTGACATAAAGTCACCTACCTTGACTCTTGCAAAGCCGCCCCGTTTATCCTTACCCTCGCTATCCGTGGAATCATCGTGCAGGACAAGAGCTCGCTCGGTGCCCTGTTCCAGGCTCTCCTGTAGTAAAAGTATATACATGAGTAAAACCAAGACTTGGCCAGAGCCGATGTAGTTCTGATCACTTACCAGCCAACCTACAGAGCCAGAGAGCATGACAGAGTCAGGGTGTCCCACGGAACCAGACAGAGCCACAGATCCAGAACGGCCCGCAGACTCAGAGTTGACCTCCTCTTCCTCATCCCCTTCCTCGCCCTCAGCCACAACCTTGTCCGTGATTGCAAGAGGTTGATCGGCAGGGTCGAGAGACATCTGGTAGTTCATACAGGGCTGGCAGAGCTATTGAGACCAAACCAAATGTTAGAAGCAGTCAAAGCATATAGCTCAAGGAAGACATACCGGGTTCTCGCGATTCCGTTGGTTTCTGGCGAACTGGTCGATGGCACGGTAGTGACCGCAACGATGACACAGCTCCTCACAAACCTGAGCATTTGTGCATGGCCCACACTTAGCAACCTGCTGGTCACGCAGGCTGCTGTAGCCAAGATCGAACATTGCCTGGCGGAGGTAGTTCAGTTGGTTGTTCGAGTACAGGGACTTCGGGCGACGCCGCTTGCAGACGCAACATTTGATTCTATGACGGTGAGCAGATGAAGATTAAGAGGGATGAAAATACTGACTCGCTTGGAATCGGCATTCGGTCCACGCTATCGATTTGTTAACGACCATCGTACTTCCTAAAAGTAAGATTTGGTTCACTAACGCCTCTCTCATTTGGGGAGTGTATCCCTGCGCAAAAGGACTCATGGGAGGCCGTCTCCGTTGCTGGGGCATATTCAAATGGCGGTATTCCAGGAAGATAGAAATCTCAAGTAAAAAAGGTTGCATAGATCGCACGATACTACACAGAGTGAGTTTAGTGAAGGCAAGAGAGGAAGAAAGAATGAGGAGGGTAGTGGTTGATTTATATTAGCGAAGGGACGATGAGGGACGCCGCGTGAGTTGCTCTTTCCAAAAGTGAGGGTTTGGGTCTGATTACTTCAATCACCTCGAATTTGCTTTTCCATCATGAGCATGGTTTTTCTTGTTCTTTTAGCTTCGGAGTTCTGGTCAAGGAGCGAAGATATAAAAGCGAAAATGATACTAGGAAAAGAGGGCTAGTTCAGGATATGGTTGTCAATTCTGAAGTAGATATAATAGCTGAGCACACAGCTAAGTATGTAGATATCATGATGACATTGCAAAAGATTAAAGCCATCAATCAAACAACATATAAAGGGCATTGTGTCGCAGAAATCAAACACACAACCTAATCAAGACCACTTTGGATATTAAGTATATTGTTTTGCAGCGCAACAATAGAGATACTAGAAAGACATCTAGCAAGAAGGAGTAACATTGAATCAACAACATCCTCACCTCGCTTCAAAGCACCATGTTTAACTCCGTACACTCTTTCACTATATTCTATATATATTTTTGTGGCTAATTGTCCCTATCCTTCTAGCTATAACACCAATAAAGGGGGCGGGGTGGGAAGGGGGCGATCTATAAAAAAAGGGACAGCTAAAATGACATCCTAAAAGAGTGCTCCGTACTGAGAAGAGGCACAACAAGGCCGCATAAGCGGCTATTCTTATAAGGTATTATATCTTAGAAATCAAACATGTACCATAAGTTATAGTTATGGATAATCATGACCAACTGGGATATTCTAAGTCTATTCCTTTAGGGTAATGACAGAAATAGTACGGAGTAAATAAGCCACTTCCAACCCTTTCTAGAAGGAGCAATATTAATCGAACAGCATTCACACCTCACTCCAAGGCACCGGCATTCAAAAGCACTCCGTTTTATTTCTAGAAAACCATAGAAGAAGCGGAGCGAGATCCTCAAGTAGAAGCATAAAGCATAATTGATTGCCTCTTGCTGACAACATAGGGGCAATCCCAATCTCGACAGGGGCTAGTTTCAAACCAAACCGGACCACGGACATTAGTTCCCAGATCAATGGAACAAGCTAGTCAGGTATGACACACATAAGGACCCAGTTTGGGCAGCACAACAGGGGCAGGGGAGGGGCATCTATCATTTTCACAAAGTAGATACATGACTGCGGTACGCAAAACATATCGCGGCCGCCTTAGCTGGCGATCTAAATATAAAGAAAATCCTATGGTATGCAGTAAGTGTGGCACTGCTATTGTGTGCACCGCCATTGTGTACTCCGTACGCTAGATAGAATTGAGGGCTAGTGCTAGTTGCCTCTGCAGGCGGAAAGGCTATCTGTTGGTGTGTTCTAATATTGTGCTGTTGACACCTTCCCGATGCGCGAAAGCTTCATATAAATCTAAGGTTACTGGAGTGATAGTGGGACCGTTTTAATGAAAACAATTTAAATGGCCAATCCAAACTAATTTAGCCCCTCGTGTGCAGTTGAGGACGGATCATCTACTCCGTACTGGGACTCAGATCTGACAGTCCCAGCGATCAAGGGGGTTGACCTTCCCGCGGCTTCCACGGATTCTGGAAATTCACACACAGACATTTCGGTGTTTGAAGTGGGCCGACATGATTTAGTGTCCAAGGTAGTGTGGGAAGTTGAAAAATCCAAATCTCGTGGTAATTTTGCCAACGGTCGCTAGGGAGTTCCCTAGGAACCTCGGGATAAACATCCCTGTAATTGTGTGTTGGTCGTTGGTCGTTGGTCTGCTTGTTTAATCTCTAGAGAAGGGGGTTGCCTGTTAGTTGCCTGTTAGGGGGGGGTGCAACGAGGTCGATCAAGGTGGATTTGGCCCCCCCAACAAGCTCTCAGTTTTTTGGAGTCGAAAGCATAGGCAATAGTCACGCTATCTTAAGGTAAAAGATAACCATTCGGAGACCGTTGACCATAAATTCGGATGTTCGAAGATCACATCCAGGAACCACCTTCTCGAAGGGCAAAAGAACACGGCGCCTCCCGGCAGTTTGGGAAGCAAATAGTTTCCTTTCCCAAGTGGCGACACTGCGATCCTTCCCCTATAGCGGCCCTCTACGGGTAGTTGGGCCTAGATGAGGCCCACCGTGGAGCATTCCGTAGTCCCCCGAATCGACGGTGCGTGACTAGGCATTTGTGAGGGATAAAGAGAGCGTCGTCATAGGCACAACAACCGGATAAAGTGGGCTGTTTTTGATAATGGGGCCAATGGCATTGTTGGCGCATAGACTCCATCGTACTACTGATCTTTGATCGGTGATGATTGGCTTGTAGTTGGTGGGCGTGGAGTATAATGACCCCACTGAGCGAATCATCGACTCGAAAGTGAGAGAAAGTGGGAATATGTTCTCAAAAGTAAATGTGGTATTCTGTGTACTCCGTACAATCCCCATCGTATATTGTACACGGTGTGTATGTGTACTCCACGTCTCCCGTTTTCTTGCCCGAATGGTAAATACTATTGTGCGGTCTAGAGAAAAATAGATCGAAAAAAAGGAAAAAAAAGTGAGTTGGCCCACTAAATTTGAACCTTGGTTTCCTTTCGGTACGGCCCTTGGATTTGCGTACTTTATGTACCTGAGGTACCTGAAATGCCATGAGATCGGATAAGGGGCGAACGCCGAACACCGAACATTGAAACAGTGGATGTAGTGAGTTGATGAGTTGAAATAGACTGGTCAAATTTCCCTTAAATTACATATGTAGTAGCCTTGCAGAGAGTCCTAAATAAATCTAGGATCCTCGGCCACAACGGTTGCCCCAGGGTTCGTCCATTTGACAGGTGCATTCTATCCCGCTTCCTGCAGGTAATTACAACTCTTTACTTCGTAATGTGGAAAAGTTGGGCTCCATTGTCTGTGTTATCGGGACCGCGAACGTCCATTAGCTTTGAGATTAGTGGAGAAACCGGAATGACGCGGTTAGAGTCTTCCCGTAAAGCTATAATGGGCTTGGTTTATGATCTTACTGTCATCACTTTGATTGGAGTCTCTTAGATACAACATATACGGATTACTGATAAGATGTTCTGGATGCTATATTTTTTGTAATACAACACATCCGGCATCCATGGCAACAGACACACTAAGTCTTTGAGACGGGGATCTCAACAAAGAAAACCCGAGTAGACACGCAAATCCGACGCTGTTCCCAATGGGAAACGGCTGGGAAGAAACCTGTCAATGATCTTCCAAGCATCCGGGGCCCAGACCTGTGTACCTGGGAACAAAGAGAAAAGAGAACCCATCATATGCAACTCCCAGCCCACCGCGGCTTAAGTCTACCTACTTTTCTATCCCGCGAACCTTTCCGTCCGGCCGCGAACCTAGTTTACTAATTCTCTTCCACATGGCCCGGCATCTTACCCCAGTATATGATTGGCCCCATGCAAGTCGGAAGATCAGTCAGAAAAGAGACAGCGAGATACCTCTCCTCCCTCAGAGCCCCGATGCATCAGGAGATCAGGTGGCGGAAAACAAAATGAGGCACAGGATGTGCGGTCAACCAATGTTCATCCAAGTTAAAAAGCCAACACGAACTACTCCGTAAACGAGGCACTGAAACAAGGATGGTCCGTTATAAGCCGAATAGTAAGACCAGTGTTTCTACTATCCGTGCGAGAATGCAACTGACAGAGTGTAGAAGTCCGAAGGTAGGACATGACATAACATGAGATGTTGAGGGAAAAGGATTCTCCTTGCTGTTCTCGCCCAGTCTGCGAGCTGTATCTGCGTACTTCGTAGTACATCTTACATCTTACATTGTACATTGTACATCGTACATCTGGTACATCTACGGAGAACGGAGGACATCTCCGCTGGGAAGTGACTCGTACAAAGACGGGGTAACCAAGATGATCAGGATGTACTTTTGTATCAAAGTCAAGATGAGATGTCTTTGTTTGGTATCTGGAGATTATTAGAGTAAGTTAATGTGCTGGAATGAAAGTTCGAGGCAACCAATTCCCATGCTCGAGTCAAATAAATTACCAAGGCGGCCCAACCCCCTTCTGACACGCCCCAAACAACGTAGACTAGGGCTGCGTGGGCAACGGTTACAGGCTGCACACAATTATTGTATGCCCAACCTCCTCAATTATTAGGCGCCGTGCATCGGCGGTCAGATGATAAATAGGGAATTATACGGAGTACTCCATATGTGATAAGCATATAGGGCACATTAGAGCATATGCAAGTATGACTGTTGATAATAGTTAATGTGAGATATGGATATGAATCCTCCGTTCTTCTGTACTCCGTATTAATTAATATAATAATTGAGACTTCTCTTTTCTTTTTTTCAAAGGAAGTGTTGTTTTAGCTTAAGAGACGTGTATGGTAAAATTGAAAATTAAGGTACCCGTTTCCGCGATGAGTGTCCCATTGGTTGAGAACGGATCAACCCGTTATTTGGGGTCTTAGCTGGTCTTAGCTGGTTTTATTTGGGGGTTTTTAAAATGATTTGGTGTGATTTTTCTGTTTGGTTTATTTTTGTAAATTTGGTAAATTTAGTTTATTTTCTTTTTTTTAAAATTATTTTCCTTACGGTAATTCTGTAATTTGGGTATTTTGGAAGTAATTCTAGATTCTCCATACCCAGAGACCCCCTCTCCCTCTCTCTAGTATATGCACACTTATGTGTGCGATGCGCTCTTTTATTTCTCTTTTCTTTATTCTTATTATTCTTATACTCTGATTCTAAATCTTTTACTCTTTCACCCTATACATATTTTCAAGGAACCTCGGATTCCAAGTATTTCGCCACGGTGGACTGATCTGCAACGACCGAAAGTCGTTAATTTACCGTCTCCACGCCCCCGTCTAGGAGCTCAAGCTGTCACCGCGTCAGGGGCTCACCC